TTTTTCTTTTTAGAGCTTTGGTTGAAACAAAGTGGATGGACACTGTCAATCCTTCTCAAAGTTGGGAGGTGTGCCAGTCACTTACAGCTTCACTTTCACTCTTGGCAGCTCCAGGGGCAAGCCAGGGTGCTTCCTCCGACCTCATCACTTGCGGTGCAACCCTCCCAAAACACAGGGCTGACCTCCTCTTTTCCATGCTTGATGGATGAATACTGAGTGTGGCCAAGTCCCCCTGGGTGACAGCAATGCTTTCTCCCCTTTGCAGGCTGGGCAGGGGGATCAGGCTATGGATGTAGCGCAAGGGGTGGGTACAGGCTCATGGGTGGCTGGGGGTCAGGAGGGGCTGCTTGGGCTCTGACTACCAGAATCTGTACTTTTCCAGTTATGTGAGTATGAGTCACTTCACTGAAACTTCAGTGTTCTTTATTTATCAAATAAGGATAATCTGCTCCAAATATATGCCATGAGATCATTACAAGAGCCAACCAAGCTGGGAAAGATTCCAGAACATGAGACGGCTCCACCTGCGGTGCCCGAAGTATAGTGAGACAAACACCTGGTGTCATCATGTCAGTTAGTTGCTGTGTGCACTCCATTATGAACAAATATGCCCAGAAATGATGCCTAACAGGGCACGGGGAGATGTCCTAATGGTTTCTGCACACATTCATTTAGCTAGTTTTCATCCAGGGGTCTGAGGCACAGTCCTTTCACTCCCTCCCAGGGTTTTGGTTGGCTGGTTTGCACCAATGCATTTCTATTATGGAAATTTCACATCCTCCCTTGCTCCTGTCTATACCCTCTTTTTTTCCCTCATTTGCTGCAACGTTTGAGAGCAGGTCCCAGAAGTCACAGCCTAGTCCACAGTCACTTGTGTGTTCTGCCACCTTGCCTGCACGTGCAACCCACGAAATTCGCAGCTGCCCTTGCATCCGCTCCCATCCCCTTTGCCGGTGGACCACCCAAGCCGCATCCCATTGTGCTGTCTTTTCCCTTAAATCATGGAGGATGTAAATGCAGGGAACAGTTCTCATGTCCTCAGAGTCTCTGCAGCCTGTGGCACCGCGTGGACGCCGCAGGGTAGGCAGTTAGCTGAACGGGTACTTGAGTCCTTACACCTTGAGGCCTGAAGATGCCGAGAAGTGCGCCCAGTGCAGGTGTGGTCAGTGTGCTGGGAAGCAAACCATGGCAACGTGGGTGCGGGCAGGACTGTGAGGGCAGCTGGTTCTCAGGCTGGCCTTGATGGGCTGTGGTCAGATCAGAGAGTCAGCACAGCAAGGCATTCTTGGGAGAGCGGTACAGCAGGAGCAGAAGCCCAGTCCTTGGCCAGTTCATGCTGGTGTCTGAGCCTGACGGCCAGAGAAACCCCAAACCCCAAATGTGACCCCAAGTTTGAGTGCAGAGGTGCCTCCAAAAGGCCCAGCAAAGGCTGAGGGCTCTCCACCTGCTAGTCCACTTCCCAGATGCCCACAAGACTGTACCAAGCTGAAGGGGGTAACCACAAACTCAAGGTCTCCAACATGAGCAGCAGGAACCCATTCCCTTGAGCCATGCCTGCTGCTTCCCAGGGCGTGTGGGAACAGGAAGAGGGAGATACAAGGAGAGCTGACACAGAGATATAGTTGTTGTCAGCTGCTAGTAAAAGTAGTTCTCACTTGCTGAGTTTTTATTTATTTTTCAAAGATTTATTTTTATTGGAAAGGCAAATTTACAGAGAGGAGGAGATACAAAGATCTTGTGTCCGCTGATTCCCCAAGTGGCCACAAATGCCAGAGCTGAGCCAGTCTGAAGCCAGTGGGTGAGTGCAGGGTCCCAAGGCTTTGGACCGTCCTTGACTGCTTTCCCAGGCCACAAGCAGTGATGGGAAGGGAAGTGGAGCTGCTTGGATAAGAACGGGTGCCCATATGGGACCCCGGTGTTTGCAAGAGCAGGATTTAGCCACTCAACATGCCAGGCTCTTGCAGTGGTTCTTGGTCATTTTCAGGAAGGGGTAGTCTTAGCCAGCATTTGTCTATAGACCTGTCAGCACAGGGTGGCAGCCACTTGAGAATGTCTGGTTCTTCTCACCCTACAGAGCAGGAGGATCAGAGCTGAATTGCTCCAGGTGCTGCGGGTTTGTCAGGCACAGGGGCGAGGCCGGGGCTGTCTGGCTTCCCCAGTGAGTCACAGTTACCTCCAGGTTTGGATCACCAACATACGTCAGTGTCTTCTCCAAAACAACAATGAGGTGTGGCAGTCAGCTAGGAGACCCTGGAGCCATGACACAGACAGTGCTGGCCCGGAGTGTCTCACAGCCACATTGGTCAAGAACTCTTCTTAGTCATGGCACAGTCACAACCTAACATGTCCCGAGTTGTGTGTGTGGCTTTTTGAAAGCAAAAACAAAACAAATCCCCCCAAAACAAAACAAACAACAAAATTCTGGGACCAGCGTGATGTTCAATCAGCTAATTCTCCCCTTGCAGGCATCAGAATCCCATTTGAGCACTGGTTTGAGTCCCGGCTGCCACACTTCCCATCCAGCTCCCTGCTGTGGCCTGGGAAAGCAGCTGAGGATGGTCCAAATCCTTGGGATTCTGCATCCACGTGGGAGACCTGGAAGAAGCTCCTAGCTTTGGATTGGCTCAGCTCTGGCCATTGCAATCACTTGGGCAGTGAAGCAGCAGATGGAAGATCTTTCTCTCTTCCAAATCTTTCCAATAAAAATACCATAATTCTTTGAAAAATTTTTTTCCAATTTCCTCCCCCTCACAGCCCTGTGGGCAATCCCTGCTTCTCTTGTAGGGCCTGTGTTGTGCTTCCTTGGTGTCCCTTCCCGGCCCTCCTCCCTCCCCCCGCCCCCCACTACCTAGCTTCTTCCTCCACTGTACTGATCATCATGTGAAATGACACTCCTTCCTTTCCTCATCATGGACTATGTCCCCTCTTTAGAAGTCAAGCTTAGAACTGATGGCACATACACAGTGCATGCCGAGCAATGCTTTTTGAAAAAAAAGGAGGAGGGCCTGGCACTGTTGTGCAGTAGTGGGTTAAGCTTCTGCCCACAAGGCCGATATCCCAAATGGACAATGATGATTCTAGTCCCAGCTTCTCCGCTTCTGATACAGCTCCCTGCTAATGTGCCCCAGGGGTGGGGCTCCTGTGTCCATGTGGGAGACCTGGAGAAGTTCCAGGCTCTTGACTTTGGACTGGTCTGGCTCCAGCCACTGTGGCTGCGTGGGGAGTGAACTAGCAAATCTCTTTCCATAAATCCAGCTTCCAAATAAAAATATTTTTTTAGAAGATGAATCCAGAGATAGCTTGTGTATTATGCATCTCTAATGGCTACACATGAGATTATTTCTCTCTTTGCTTGTCTCTATTCTCAAACTAGGAAGAGGGACAAGGATAAATCATCACCAAACAACCAAATACGCAATCACTTATAACACACATGCCCAACAGAAGAAAAAGTATGGAATGAGGTAGTGAGGTCCCTGTCATGTGAAGCATTTAAGAGATGCCCATATCACAGTGATGCCTACACTCAATGAGTGTTAAGGCATTTCCAATGTCATTACTCTATACCTTGCATCTATGGGGGAGAAGTGACTCTATTGGGTGTGGGAAATTTGATGACACAAGGACAACCAACTCTTGGAAATGTACTTTCCTTAAACTTACATTAATTTTGTTTTCAGCGAGTTTTGCTGTCAGGAGCATCCGCTGCCTCCCAGTTCTCCACAGGTGCCCAGGCTGGGCCCTGAGGATGCTGGTCCAGGCCTGCAAGTGTCAGGCCTGGCAGGGATGAGACCAAACCCTGAGGGCCTGAGCTCCAGGGAAGGAAGTGGAACAGGAAAGGGCAAATTTACCAAACCACTACTGTGTGCTGTTCCCTGCGCAGCCTGCTGGTGGGACTGGCTCAGCCATGAGTCTATGACCCAGCACAGCCTCAGACTGGTTTCAGAGGTCACAGAACTATTTAAACTTTCAATAAAATCCATGCAAAGGCTAGTAAAGTCTTTAACAAGTTGGCCCACCCTTCTAGCCTGGATGTTGGAAAATGGCTGCTTGTGTTCTACCAGAGTCTAAGCAACAGCCGTTTCTAACTTGACTGAGTTGGTAAGCCTCTTGGGACTCTGGGAATGGGGCTGTGGTTGGCTGAACTCAGCTGCAAACGGAAAGCTTTTGAAGGGACATGGTGAACGAGCACTGCTACAACTGCTCACTGGCCAAACGGCCCATCTTCCCTGTGGTATCTGCAGGTGAGTGTTCGAGCAAGAACTCAGGCAGATAAACCTTCCAGTGCCTCTCCCATCACCCCAACATGGGCAGAGCTGCCTTCCCTGGCAGAGGGCATGCCTGCTGCCAATCATGGGATGTAACGAGTGTCCAAGTGCTGTTTGTGATTAAAGTTTTAACCCCTTACTTAACGCACTTTAGAGCTATTAGGGACTGAATTTCCATGCACAACTTGCCTTCCGAAGCTTTTGTTGTTATAGAAATAATTGGTAGAGTTGCTAGATGGAATGGATTTACACTGCAACATGGCAGAGTTTTCTAATAAGAAACCCGAGGAGCTCAAACCCTCCCTTCAGCCAGCAGAGCAAAGAGACCTGAGAAGAACCATATCCGTTCACGACCTGCTAGTCCGGGCAGGGCAGCTGTGTGTTGTGCTGGGGTCATCTCCGTGGTCGGCCTCGTCAGCAGATCTGGATAAACAAGACGCTCTGAATTACAAAAGACGCGGTTGGGCATTACGAAGAAGCACTTTAGAACGACATCAGAAAAACACGAAAATGTCAACGGTGGCTCTTGTGGAACCCAATGGATCCAACCGTGAGCTCTGGCTGCTTCTCAGGTGCCCAGAAGCCATGTGCACATTGGCCAGTGCCGGTCTACAGGTACCTTGTTGGTCAGTCACGTGTGTCGGTGCAGCTGCTCTGGGTGGGCCTGTGACCCTGAGGATCACCAGTGGAGTTCACGCTACCGTTTCCTGAGAAGACAGATCAGGCCACTAGTACAGAAAGGATGACTTTTATTTCCATCCTCGATGATGATCACATCAGTATTCAAACACATCTGAAAAATCCTCAATAATTTAGACAGAAGGCACAGAGCAAATCAAGCTGTTTAACTATAAGGATGTAACTGAGGACAATCCAAAATACTTCCGTAGTAACAACAAATTATGAACAAGCTGCCAGCACCAAATATCACTGTGACCAAAAGCTGCTGTCTTCCGCCATAAAATCTTAGACACTTTGGCTCATCTCGAATTTCCACGAACTACCAAAAATGGAAGACATTTCTTCTTTCAATACACTACACCCTCTGACTCAATGTAAGTATTTAGCAGATACTTACACATCTATATCCAGCAGTTATGATATTTGCTGATGGACAGACAACCCCTCTCTATTATCCGTTGTTAAAAACTGGTGTTTAAGAAGATAGCAAAATTCGTTACAAAATTCTGTTTGGAGAGCAGGAAGAAAACTTGTTCCAGGCAAATTATAAGTTCAGAGCACTTCACTATTAAATTGCCAATAATGAGTGACAGGAACCCACCGTGTGGGGCGTGCCACCAGACCTTGGTCACAAGCCCTCCTGACAGCGCATCTCAGGGACCAAAGCGGGCAGCAATGATTGTCACTATTTATTCCAAAGAGATAGGATTTTTAAAAAATTATAAAACCAACTGGAATTATCCGTTAACCCCGGCAATTCTACTTGCTAAGTTTGCAGATAAAGTGTACGCGCTTCATGACACGCAGTAGCACTCCGAGACACATTCGCCGACGATCAACACCATTCAGCACGGAGGTCACCTGCACATTAGCTCAGGTTCTGAACTCGGCGTCTAAATGTCACTTTTCAAGTATGCATGATTATTAGTAAGGTAAAAACATTCTTCTCTTATTGACTTCTTCACGTGTTTTCCGAAGGACAACCGTAACAAATGAAGGACAGACAAAATGGGCTAGTCAGAATTTCAAAAGCACTTCAAAAACATTTCAAAAAATATGAAATAACCTAGTGACCAATAGCTGATTCAAAGATATTAACATCTAAAACCTGTAATTGCAGATTAAAAAAAAAAAAAGCAGAACTTCTTCGTATCTTACTTAAAACGATTAGGTTCCTAAGGAACAACAGGAAATGTAAGGGTCTCTAAGGTACAAGAACGAATATTCTTATCTGAATTAAATTAAAATCTCTCCTTTCTACTTAGCTGCGATATATGTTTGTATATTTAACAGCAGTAAGGTTTTGGATTCATCATCTAGTTTAACTGCATAAATCACAAAAACATGTCCAGCCAAGACCGTTGGTAAGTATAGTACAAACTCTAGAAATGACTTTTTGCAAAAACTGCTTCAAACTTGTCCTACATAGCAAAACATTCCTTTGGAAGTAAATCCTTAATGCTTTTGGACTATTCAAGTAAACACAGCTTTTCAACATCTCTAGCACTAAACTATAATTACCCTCTAAATTCCTTTGTCATTGGATAACATTATATTTTATTCCATACTACTCTAATAATAGCTCACTATTTTTTTTAAAAAAGTCTCTTTAATGGTATCAGATTTATGTCTTCATTATCTATGAGTACTGAGAGATTAAAGTAGAAATAACACATATTAGAAAACTTATAAACAGGATCAAGTTTTGAAATGTTGGCACATGAAAAATGGTGGAAACTTATCAGCAGATTTCAAATGTATGTGATCGTGGCATTGGCTGGGACCAGCGACAGCTGCTGGCTGCTATTACTGGCTTTGCTGATAATTGTCCTGGGATCCGTAACTTGTACGATTCAGTACTGAAAACAGAGCCCCCAGAAGTCCTTTCGTCAGCTGGCCGGGTCACAGTTACAGTGGGCTTCATTCACTACTGTAACACTTTGACAGCGGAACGTCTGAATTTCAAAAATATAAACTCACCAGGGGTTAGTTGGAGACAATGCTTCCAAGCTAAGAGAAACAATTTCAACACTAACAGGTGGACCATCATGGTGAGTTTTGGCCCCGTGTATACCAGCTGTTCCCCCAATAGCTCCAAATCAGAAAAACAACGAAATCAAACGATTTTCTTTCAAAGACCTCAAAAAAGGAAGATGCATGACTGATAATCAATTTCAAAAATTTACACAAGGCTGCCAGGCCAGCAAATGACTGTGAGGGTGACTTTGTTCCTTTGCTCCTTCAGCATGGGCACCAGTGCAGAGTGACTCATGCCCACGGTGGACAGGCCATTCACGGCCACAATCATGTCTCCGCATCTGGACAAAGACAGAAAGAGAATGTTACCATTTTCATGGTATTAAAAACATTATCCCAATTGAGATTGGAATTAACTGCCCCCGATTAGGCTGTATTATCTACTCTGAGGAACATATGGGATGACTCTGATGCCTGGGCTACCTTCCCTCTGCCAGCTGACTGGAGCCCCTGGGCCATCCACTCCCATAACTGGCAGGTGAATTTTAAGGATATGCAGAATATTTTCCCTCTTTTTAAATAACAAGAATACCACTAATAATGCACTTGAAGGAAATTGGCTACTGTTTTGTTCCTACCGTTTGGTCTTAGAGTTCACACATGTGAACGCTAAATAAAGGCTTGTACTTCCTCTTTCTATTAAAACTCTCAGCTCTATGAGCAGAATGACCACAAATGGATGATGAATCCGGGGATCATTCTAGTCTTGTAAGTGGAATGATCTAAGCGTTTAGCCTTCGGGTTTCTGCTCTCTGCTTTGTAGCATAAACCAATGTGCTATTTCAATGTTATCCACTTTAATTTTTTTCTGGAAGCAGGTGGGATGTAAGTGACAAACTAATCGAGGCCTGGCAGAGTGGCGTAGCTAACAGGAAGATTAGCTCAGGCTCCCTCTCCTCTCCGCAGACAGCACACACTTCACCTTTATCCGTGGAGAGCGACCTGGAGCTCACTGCTCCACATTCACGGGTCAGGGTCACAAGGTCTCTTTGGGAGGACAGTTAACACTGAACTTGTGCAGGCTCCGTCCACTGTGTCAGTATCTCCCTCTTAGCAGCTGCTGCTTCCCTCAAGGAGGAGGCAGAGAGAACCTTCAGCCAGCTTCTTCCTTGGGTGGTGGTATTTTCATGGCACTGTCTCTTTCTTCTCTCACTGCCACAGCTTTGAAATAGGAAAGCGACCGTGGCTGGCACTTTGTGCCCTAGGGACGGCAGTTAGTGGAGACTGGAGGCCACACGCTGGAGCCAGACATCCTAGTCTGCATGCCAGCCAGCCACTCTGAGCTACTTGATCCTGGGCAAGCCTCAGTTCCCTCATTTATAAAGCAGGAATAGTAATGACACTAACCTCACGGGACTGTTGCTAGGAAGATTAAATAACGCACACACAGCACTAAATGCTGGCATTCTGGAAGCTGCTGTGCACTAGGCCATCCAGGATTTACTGAGATCTTACTCTGAGCAAGGCAAGGCCTGGTCGTAGCTTGCCGAGGATGAAACAATACATGGCACAGGTGCCCTCCCACACGGGGCTGGCAGAAACACCCTGCCAGGCAAAGAGCAGCATGCTGCAGGGACATAAAGCAGAGTCATCTGATGATAGGACCACACCTGAGTCAAGCTGGCTGCCATGGCAGCGTGCGCCCTGCCAGAGGACTCAGCCTTGGGTCCCCACCAGCAGATGAGAGAAACTAGGCTACCATCGACAAGCTGGAAGAGGCAAAAGCTTCAGTTTAGAGCAGGGGCTGGCAGGCTTCTGTTGTTAAGGTAAGGGTCAGGTGGTCAATGTTTCTGGCTCTGCCCACTGCATGGACTCTGTCACCAGGATTCAAACTCTACAGCCAGTAGGCAGACGCTAGCACTGATGAGCCACAAACACAGGAGTACGTCTGTGCCACAGTAACACTTTATCTATAAAAACTGATACCAGGGCTGCGTTTGGGCCTTATGTCCAGCACATGCAACCCCACTCTGTCATTAACCTGCGCAATACTTACTTCAGTCTTCCATCATAGTAGGCAGGTGTCCCCAAGACAATGGTTTTAATGAAGAAAGGCTGGTTGGTGTGGTTCTCTTCATAGCCTCCGACGATACTGAAGCCCCAGCTTCCCAAGTAGCTTCTCCGTAAGACGATGTCGTGGCAGCTGTGAAGGGCACTGCACACACACACACACACACACACACACACGCAGAGAAATGAACATGGAGGTTCTTACAGCTGCATCACCTTTGTCATCACCTTGGGAGGAAGGCACAAGGGCTGGCCTGTATTATCTCCCTCTCTGGAGGCACCGTTCTGACAGTCCCCTTTGTGACACACACGTAGTCCTAGGTAGGCCTGCGTTTCTCCAACTCTCCTCAGGCTTCCCAGGTGAAAATACCGGCCGGCACACCTGCGGTGGAGCTGACGTCAACCTGGTTGCAAATGACGCCTCAGAAGTCTGGACAAAGGTTATGTGCGTGTGTTTGTCCACTACATTCTAATATACAGTGGTAGGAAAGGAATCTGGGACTGCTGGCCTTGGCACTCTCATGAAAGGAGCCAATGATCAGAGCTGTGGCCTCCAGGACGCGGGGTGGAGTTCACCCTTGTGGAGGGCACACTCTAGGGCCCACGTTAAGTGCAGATGAAGAGTTAATTATTGCTCTTTCCTGTCTCACCTGCAATGCTTTTGCTTTAAGGGGAGATCTAACAGTCAAAACAGGGAACCCCCAAAATAGTAACAAAATACATTTTGTCTTCCTTTCCTCTTCACATCGTGGACACGGAGATGTTGCCCAAGCTACTGTGTCAGAGGATGCCGACCGAGAAGCAGAATCTAATCATGCTCTCACAACTGTACCAATTTGGGAACAGGCAGCAAGTAGAAAATCAAAAACCAAAACCATCACCTAGATGACATAGACAAAAACAAAACAAACAAACAAAAAAACCCAACTTTCAATATAGGTGAAATTGGTGGGCATTGAAGGCAAGGTTTCCTGTTTTGAGTGCATTAAAAGGGCACTTAACAAAGCTGAGTCTGCAAAGTGAAATATAATCCACCACAGGTTCTAGCCTGGTCTTATTTCCCAGGTGCCTGGCAGGAAAGAGCTCTAGGGAGGTGAACACTCAGCCCGGCTGCCCTGTGTGAGCGTAGGAACCCAAAGACTTGGGCCATCACTGCTGCCTCCTGTGGTCTACGTTAGCAGGAAGCTGGAATCAGGAGATAGGGCCAGAAAGCACGAGGATCTGCAACGCAGGTATCCTCCGCCACAAAGGCCGAACACTCGCTCCTTGTAACTGAGAGAGCAAATCAGCAAATCCAAGTGAAATCCAATCAGATCCTTGCTTTTTCTCTGTGACTCTTCATGGGGAAAGGACTTGGGAAGCCATAATGGGCTACACAAATGCTAGTGCTTATTTTAAATTCATTCCAAGCAAACAAGATGGTTCAGAAAACGATGCCTTCTTTAATTAATTAATTTTTAAACTTTAAGGCAACCAGTACTAGTTGGCTAAGAGTTCAAAGTTCACAAGCCAGATTTGTGATTTCTATTTACAGGAAGAATCTGACCTGATCTGGAATGAACTAGTAAGTGTAACATTTATGCTTCCTGTCTCAATACGAATTCCTGCAACATCCCTCTAGCGAGGGAAGGGCGGGTGCCCTGGGAGGCGGCTGGAGGCCCCACCTGATCCTGAGACCCCAGGGTTAAGGAGCTGCACAGTGTGGGTACAGCGGGGAACACCTCATCATGGTGGAGCAGCTGCTCTCAAACACCAGTGGTTTGGCTTCATATGCCCAGCAAAAACATTTTAAGGGGAATTTGGAAGAGTTTTCAGAAAGGTCCATGCCAGCCTTGTTTTTCCGGTGAGAAATGTCCATGGAGTCTAAGTATATTTTAAAATGAGTGCCAATAAACAGCAGCTTTTCTGAGCAGGCAAAACAGGAGCATTCAACCTCATCACTGTGCCCACCGTGTCCTTCCCAGGAAGGGAAAGACTTAACTTCACTCATTTCTATACACTAATGTCTTTGAAGCTTCATTTTCATTAAATCCAACACCTGAAGGACTCCTTCCTCTTGTCACGTGATATGACTACTTTTAGCAAACCTGAGCCTTTCTGCTTCTAACAGGTTAAGTCTTGGAAGCATGACTGAGATTATTCCGTGATACAACAAAAAGGCTGGGAGTACCTTGGGAGGCCAAGCCACATGACCCAGGACGGGGACCAGCTGGCATCGTACTCATTCTCATTGACGGTGCTGGGCTGCTCTTCCAGGGTCTGGGCCGCATCCTCCACCACCTGGACCTCCAGTGCCTTCAGGACCACAGCAGGGGAGGCAGCACTGGCCTTGAGCATCGCCACAGCCTCACTGTGAGTCAGGTTGGTCAGGTCGATGCCGTTGATGTTCAGCAGTATGTCACCTATTTTTAGACGAAAAAGCAAGGACGTGAGCTGAGCTGCCACACGGTGGCCTCCCTGTGAGCCTGTGGCTGAGATGCTCACCCAGAAAGGTCAGTTCCAGTAACTGAGACAAACAAAGGAGTAGTCTAACAAGAATTCTTTGTAAATTGCATCATGCTGAGGATAAATCCAATTCATGGAAAACATTCTGGATCAATTCACAAGTTTATAATGATGTCATAACGCGTAAGAAAAGAGTGGAATGGGGACTGCAAGCCCTCGCCCGAGCTTAGGTGTATATATTGCTCATTTCTCTCATTTGAGCTAGCTGTGGAGACTTCTGAAGTTCTTTCCAATCCAACAATGAATTGGTCTTTTGCTTCAAGACGTGCATTTTTAATATATTCTATTGTATATTTCTCTAGTGGTATACTCGGGGCAAACATGCCAGAATACAAGTATGTGCAGAGAAGATGTTTAGGGCTCACACAGAGAAATGAAACCCGCGATTTAGATATCTGCCCTTGCCTGAGGAAGCAATAAGTGCCAAGCAATATAATAAAACAAGGGCAGCAAGGATTATATGGAAGGCCAAGAAGGAAGAAATACTAGTTTTCTGGAAGCAGACATTTTGCAGCTATTGTAGTTCACAGAGAATCCCCCTCTTTCCAACTTACCACCTATTTGTGTTCAGGCTGAGAAAGCAAAACACTCTCATTTCAAAAAAGCTTGAAAAACCATGATAAAACAAGGAAATGAAACGAATCCAAATTCTGTACTGGGTAAGTACATACACGAGCCTATTAGTCCGCTGTCTGGTGCTGCAGTGAAACACCTGAGAACAGCTCACTTTCAAAGAACACCAAGTTTACGTGACTAGAGTTCTGGAGGGCGAGCAGCCCAGCAGCATGGCGGCGGCACTGGCCAGGCTCCAGGCGAGGCCTTCCTACAGTCTGCTAACCTGTAGGGGCAGTCCCACAGTGAATCACTGTGTTTTGTCAGCCCACTCATCTGCTGACAGGAAGCTGGGCTGTTTCCATTTTCTGGCTATTGTGAATAATGCTGCTTGCTATGAATACTGGTGTACAAGTTTTGTTTTGCTTCTTAAGATTTATTTACTTATTTGAAAATTAGAGTTACAGAGAAAGGGAGAGGCAGAGAGCGCGAGAAGGAGGAAGGAAGGGGGGATGGGAAAAGAGAGAGAATCTTCCATTTGTTGGTTCATTCCCCAGATGGCCACAGCTGCTAGCACTGGGCTAGGCTGAAGCCAGGGTTTTTTTTTTTTTTTTTCCAGAGTTGCCTAGGTGGGAGACAGACACCTAAGCACTTGGGTCATCTTCTGCTGCTTTTCCAAGGCCACCAATAGGCATCAGAAATGGAGCAGCCAGGACTCAGATCAGTACTCATACGTGATGCTAGCGTCACAGGGATGGCCTTACCTGCTACGTCACAATGCTGCCCTCGGTAGCTTTTCACACAGACCTATGTTTGCATCTTCCTAGGAGTAACATTGTTGGGTGATATGGCTTCATTCTTTTCTTTCTTTTACTTAAAGATTTATTTATTTGTTTTTATTGGAAAGGCAAATCAGATTTATGGAAAGAAGGAGAGGCAAAGATCTTCCATCTGCTGCTTGACTCCCCAAATGGCTGCAATGGCTGGAGTTGAGCCAATCTGAAGCCAGGGTCTCCCAGGCAGGTGCAGGATCTCAAGGCTTTGGGCTATTTTCCACTGCTTTCCCAGGCATAAGCAGGGAACTGGATGGGAAGCAGAGCAGCTGGGACATGAACCAGTGCCCATATGGATTCCTGGTGCTTGCAAGGTGAGGATCTAGCTAACTGAGCCAATGCACTGGGCCCTATGGTTTCATTCTAGAAGAGTAACTTTTGAGACTTAGCTTTGTCTTCATATGTGAACATGATGGATCAGAAGCATTAAGTCTCTTACAGTATTTCTTTTAATGACTTATTTTTATCTGAAAGGCAAATTTACAGAGAGAGAAGGAGAGACAGAGAGAAGTCTTTTATCAGTTTGTTCACTCCCCAAATGGACACAACAGGTGGAGCTGATCTGAAGCCAGGAACCAGGAGCTTCTTCCAGGTGTCCCACGTGGAGGTATCCTCCAATGCATTCCCAGGCCATAAGCAGGGAGCTGATTGGAAGTAGAGCAGCTGGGAGTCAAACCAGTAGCCATTTAGAATGGTGCTACTGGAGCTGGAGGCTTAGCCTACTGTGCTATGGCGTCAGCCTCAGAGGACCTTCCCCACGGTAAAATAACCCAGGTGTCTGAGTAACTGTTAGAACATTCTGTACCAACCACCCCAAGGTTTGGCAATGTTCTCTTGCCATGAGCCTTTTTCTTTTTTTATTTTTTTAAAAGATTTATTTTTATTGCAAAGTCAGATTACAGAGAGGAGGAGAGACAGATCTTTCATCCGATGATTCACTCCCCAAGTGGCCACAATGGTCGGTGCTGCACCAATCCGAAGCCAGGAGCCAGGAGTTTTTTCCTTTTCTCCCATGCGGGTGCAGGGTCCCAAGGCTTTGGGCTGTCCTCAACTGCTTTCCCACGCCACAAGCAGGAAGCTGGATGGGAAGTGGAGCTGCCGGGATTAGAACCAGTGCCCATGTGGGATTCTGGCGCGTTCAAGGTGAGGACTTAAGCTGCTAGGGCACCGCTCCGGGCCCACCATGAGCCTTTTTCTAACCTTACAGAAAAACTGTATGCTTCCACATAATGGGGTTAATAGAATAAAACTCATTCTAATAAAAAAATTAGAACCTCTTTAAAAAGTCTGAGTTTACTTAAGATGTGGTGAAACGGCTTGACATCTGTCTTACCTCTCTTGATTCTGCCATCTCGTGCGAGGCAGCCATGCGGTGGTACGCTGGTTACAAAGATGGGCAGTTCGCCACTCTTACTCCCTCTGCCCCCAGCCACTGTCATTCCAAGGGACTCGTGTGGTTCCTTTTTAACAGTAATGTGTTTTTCTTGGCATGTGACACATTGAGTAAGATCCTGAAACATGAAAGGAAAAAATTACTGAATAATGAATAATGGAAAGGTGAAGACACCTTAAACTCACATGGCATTTATCTGCTTTAAACATTTTTTTCCAACTTACTTGAGAAGAACAGAGAAATATGAATGAGCCAGGTCGCACCTACTGGATCACTCCCTAAACGCCTGCAAGCACTGAGGCTGGGCCAAGAGCTGAAGCTGGGAACATGTTCCAGTCCCCCACACATGGCAGGTTCCCAAGTGTTCAAGCCACCACTTCTGGGTGTACATCAGCAGGAAGCTAAAGCCAGGGGCGGAATCAGGTCTTGAGTCTTGTGCTACAAGATGGGATACAGGCAACCTAGTCACCGAGCCAAAGTCATCCCTTCCTGGGGCACTTATACAGCCATTATTCTTTGAATTCCTCAGTTAGAACTGAAAGCAAAACACAGTTCTAGGTGCCCTGTGGCACTGCAAAAACACAGGACTGAGTCAGCACAAAACGAACACGTCCTCCACACAACCGTCCTGACTGCCAAGACATGACCAATTCTATAAAGTAAACGATGCGTCTAAGAGTCTAAAGACAAAGCAGTAATTTTACTTCTGTGTTTCTCCTTAATTCTTTCAAATAAGTCTACAGAGTAAAGCGTTGATTTTGTTCATTGCTGGAAAACAACACTACCCTTAATTCTTGCTGACCAGGATTACAAGGGCTTAGTTGTGAAGCCAAGTACAAATCTACCTTTCAAGCCTTCATGAAAAGCTAAAAACACAGGAAGTATATGGACTTTTAGAAAAAGTTAATGACAAGGGAATCGATTTCCACCAGACAAACACTTTCGGGGACAATACATGTTTATGGACATTTGTCACCAATTAGACTGACATGTTCCTAGAATCAAGAAAAAGAGAGTTTTAAAAAAATAATTTTGATTCGAATTCAGTAACAGGATGATCATATACAAGATTAACATTAAATTGCCATTATCTGACACTAGGGCTTGTCATGTGCAACACAGGAGTTGAAGCAGGCAAACTACATGTTAGGATTTTGTATGTGTACATAGTGTGATCTCCTAGGTGCATACATTGTACACACGCACCCACACATCCCATTAAGTGCAACACTGCAAGTTTATATCTTAAACTATTATTATTCACAGAATGTTGCAGGTAACAATATTAAAAATGGAAAATACAAATTATAGCCATAAAATCAGAATACTTCCTTTAAATACTGTTTTAAAGGGCTGATGTCTACTTTGCTAATGTTATTTACCACATCTCTGAATTATGATCTAGAATTCCAGGCTTATCTGCCTGTCTTGGTTTTCTGGAATATACATATTCTTGAAGTTTCATCAAAGCAAATATTTGTAATAGTTACATAGCATTCCTAAGAAAATGTTATGAGTAGAAAACTTACAAACATGTTCAGGCAAGCTCTTATCCAAAAGCATGGAATTTATCTTAGTATCCTTTAAAACTGGGCAAACCTAACTCTACCATGAAGACAATGCAGGTAAACTCAGCCTTGAGTATATTTACTCAAGCTGCAGCCTTCAGGTATTTACTTAACCAACCAATGGCAGATGTTTTATTATCTTACATGGCTGAAATGTATGCGGTTGTCCTCCAGGAGTCATGCCCAACGTCAAGATTCTACTCAGCACACGTCTCCTAAGGGTTCAACACTATCTTAAAGTTTATCCAAGCAGTTACTGAGCGTCATCAGAGCAACTCAATTTTTGGCAGTGATTATGATCTGGACAGGCTGTTGCAGAGTTATATGAGGTAATCTGCCCTAAGAGACCTTTGTTTTTCTAAATCAGGATTTGACATAGCACATGCAATGTATTAGGAGTAAATAACGAAATTAGCACATTCCATCCCATGTATGCAAAGGATCCAGAATGAGAATAAATTCAGCACTGTCATTTAAAACACTGTCACTTAAAATCAAGGAGAGTAAGAATTAGAGAAGTTAACAGAAAAATACATGTGTCCAAAACAAATAAGCAGAGCCAATGCATGAATTATCGGTATGATTAATAGTTTTTAAACGTCTTAAACTGACACAGATTGTACTTAAATTTAAGGATATGAAAGATTCAGTGACGAAATCCCACCATATATTGTCATTCTTGTAAATCAAGAAATAGTTAAATGAAGTAACACCTATTTGAAAACAACAGCTTCTGTTTCCTTTTTCACAGTCATCGTGATGAAGACAAAATTACAGGTTTCTCTCATACGTCTTGGGTTCCGCTCAGAAATGAGAACAATGTCTGTGGCTATCATTTCTTTAATGTAGGAACTGAGCCTAAGAGCAGGGACAAGTCTGTGCTTAGCTCAGGACCAGATGAACTTGCTTGGTCAAGACGCTGTGTCTTTCAGTCATGCTTTTCCAGGACCGGTCACAGGTTCCAGAGGCGATTGTCCCCTCTGCTGTTGTACTGAATGTGAAAAGGCAGCAGTAGCACGTAAGAAACTTGCTACAGTTTTTTAAACAGATTCAAGTTCAGGCAATTCAGGCTTACTTAAGTAGAGTGACTTCGGAAGCTCGCCTTTAGGGTAGGATACACTTTCACAAAACGAGGCGAGCATCACATCACTGCTGAAAAATTCCCGGCCTACCCCGAGTTGAACTCACAGAAATCAAGGGAGGTTACAGGATGAGGAATGCAAAAGATTCATTCTCTCTTGATTTCTGGAATGAAAGTGAGACGACATGCCAAATCCTCAGAGATGAATGACCTGGGACCGTATTATAAAACTGACCAAGGTATGATTCTGAGGAGGCAGTGACAAAGCAGCTGAATCTAGGGAAACTTTAAGTGATCTATGTTACCGCACAAAAAAAAAAAATCGATGTTACAACACAAAAGGTATGCCTACAAAATTTATGATTCATCTTTAGTATTAACATATTTAATTGTGCTACTGTAGGCAACTTGCCCAACTGCTAAGTTTAGACTTGTTGATTATGCCTTCATTAGGCGTTTTCAATCATGTGTGTAACTGATGTTCACATTTCAATGAGAAACCCAAGCTAAACCTCACTTTGGAGTAGGACTAAACAGAAGACTTTTCTGGATGATCAGACACTTCTTGTCATCCCCTGGAGAGACTCTCTTTCCACCAAGAAACTGCCTCTAACGGCTATGAAACGGAGGCTGTCAGCCAGCTGTCGGAGATGGCAGGCCACATAGCTTTCAGTTCAATTCTTCCAGCAGTCTAAAAGCCTAGATTGAAGTCTTTTTCCAAACAAAAAAAACAGCTTTACTGAATTCTGACCAATACAACAAAAAGCCTTTATTTAATTTTGGAAGTTTGTAGCAACAATCCGCAGAGGCTGGAATAAAACAAAACAACAACCAAAAACGTTCTCACCTTATGCGAGGTTGGTCTGCTGGGGTAGAGCGACTGGGAGTGGTGCTGGCTGCTGCCGCTGTGGCTTGCTGCTTCTCGGACAGGGTTTCCAGGCTGGGCTTTCCCTTGTCTAGCAATTGTTAAATTGACCCTCTCTCCACTGGCCTGGAGAAAACACACACACATACACACATTAGCACCCATCAGAAATGAGGTTTTTCATTTTAAAGATTCTAGGTAGTGTAATTTTCAATGCACTTTTCAACCAAGGTGCCTGGCCTATGGCTGCCAGGCACCCGGTACAAAGGGAGGAAGGGTGACCATTTCATTACGATCCTTGAGGCTGAAACCTGGGGCTGTCCTCTGCAACCCCACTTTCAAAATGACCAGCGCAGACCCCCACCTCCCGCAAACTACCCAGGTTCTCCTCTCCCCATGATCTCTGAATACTTCTCTGCCCCTTTAAGGTGAGCCTTGGTATTTCTTTGTGAGATTAGAGAACAAAGCAAAGAAAATGAAAGGAATAGCCTTCAAAACTTGGCTAAATGCTGGTGTGACTTCCGAAATGAAATCCATGTTGTCTGGTATGGAAGCCGCAGTGGCGTGTCTGCCTGCTACAGGTCTAAGGTACAAACACTGGCATAGACAATTATGTGCAACAAGACGCCTTTATAGTTTGTGGATAACACTGACCCAAACATGCATTCTTACATGTTAAATCATTACAGAAGGGCCATGAGTGTCATTTTAGATTTAAAAGGCTGTTACGCACATTTCCAGAAAACAAATACATTCTTATCTATTACATTTTTAAAGTACAGATCTCATTTATTGGTCCTTTCAGTCACAATTCTCAATTGTGTTATTCCTATGACAAAATACCACAGTTGATAAAGATCGTTGAAAATGTTCTCCTTTAGGGGAGGGAGAGCAGAGAAATCTTACATCACCCAAGAAGGTGTGAGGAAGACGGGAAGTATAACCTTTCAGGATCATAACTGGTAACTCATAAACAAGAATCAAATCAGCATTAGACAATAGCAAAACTACAAAGGCATATGGGGGGAATCAGCAGCAATCCCAACAACCTCTTAACAGGAGGTCATATGCACAGAGTGGGGGGCCCCTTGAGTGGAGCAGGCAGACAGGAGGAGGCTTGTATCCCAACCCTGAAGATTCCTAGATCCTCACCAAGGACTAGCAGTACGAGCTCCGAGGGCTACATCCCAACTGCCAAGAAGAGCACAGGGAATTGGAGTGCCTTCGGAGGCCGAGAACTCTGAGGTGACCCACCTCCATTTGGATCTCCCACATGGGATGGAAGAAGCCCACATCCTGCCTTGCAGGATCCAAGGTCATCGGAACGACAGCCAGGAGTACTGAGCGGTCCGCAGAAACAAAACAGTAAACTTCCATCGGGACTAGGGAGAGGAGCTTTCTCTGCTTCTTGCCTGGTGCCGATTTTGGGTCCCCACCCTCTCTCATAATGACCATCAGGATCGCTCCAGAAGCCCCCCAAAACAAACTAACAAATAAACAAACAAACAAAAAATACCCCTAGAATAGATAGAGAACAACAAGGAAAGCTTAGAAACAGGAAACGGGCAGTGAGGGATGCACTTATAACTCACTGGGTGGGACACAAAGATTAGTTACTCCTCACTAGGGTATTGAAGATTTCTCTGCACACCCCTCCTAAAACTGTTCACCTAAACTGTTGACACATGTCTTGTTAGAGTTATAGAGTTAGACTACCTGAAAAACAGCCAGGTTCTGCAAAATCATGCTTCAACGCTATGAACTGCTAAATACTAAAATTAAATAGACATGAGACAGCTGAATAGTAATCTATAGCCATTTTAAGGTGTATAGAACCCAGTTGTATATAAACTAGTAATTGTAATGTCAATGTAGAAGTCACAGGATGTGGTTCAGAACTTGCACTCTTTTTTATTCTCTCTCTCTCTTTTAACATGCTGGTTACACAATACCATGTCAACTAATTCCATTACGTTATAAATTGTTACTGATGTAATGCCGGGGCTTTTAATTGATTGGGATGATACTCTGTCGGCTCTACCTTCAGACCAGAGACGGTCTCCCCAAGAAACTGTTGAACTTATCTGGACGATGAGATGCTGGACTCTATGCTTTGTAGATGCTTGCAATGAAAGAATCTCAACTGAATCTGAACTGTAGTAATGCAACAAGAATCCACCATGGGGAGGGAGCGGGTTTTAGGGAAGGAAGGGGGGAATTCCAGAGCCTATAAAACTGTGTCACATAATGCAATGTAATCAATAAAAAATAAATTAAAAAAAAGAAAATGTTCTCCTTTATAATTACAGTTAAAAACACAACACTACTTTCAATGCCCTCAAAGCTACATGTTGCTGAAGCATTTTACTAAGTGCAATTTTTTCGAACAGTCCTCCAAAAGGCCTGGAGTAGTGCTAATCCCCCAGCTCAAACCCCAGGGACTGCCTTGGCAGAGTCTAGGTTCCTCACCTAAGCGGCAGACCCAGGCAGGACATTAGACGTCCTCACATTTACATGTCAGATGCTTCAGATTAAGTGGGGACAAGTACCATTTAGGATTTTATTTCAATATACAGAATAACCTTCTTTATTGTCTATCACCTTATAACCATGAAATATTCCAGTCAGTTATCCAACGTGTTCTGCTTTCTATCCCCTGACAAGAAACTTGACAACCCATGCTGGCCTGTCATGTCCCCTGTGTGCATCTGGGCATGCTCTCCACTACACACTCCTGATACATGCACTCCAAGGTTGGACCACATAGATTGTGATTTTTCCCTGTGGCCAGGTTTTGAGTCCAAAAATTTAGTTGGGAATCCCCAAGAAACCTTGCTTGGGTTGACCTCAGATTTGATTCTTGTGTGTGCCAGCCAATGCAGGGTCAGATCCAGCTGGTTACCTGAACTGCTCAATTAATAGTGGATGCAGCTGCCTGGTCAGTTCTGGGCTCCTCAATTCTGCCTGGCCAGGTTCTGGTCTTCATGCACACCAACAGATGTCACGGCTTAATCAGGGTGACTTCCAATAACGCAATCCAGCCTTCCTCCTCTAGCCTAGTCAACCCTGCATTCCACTTGGCTCTCGTGCACACCATGGGTGCTGCGGTTTAACTTGGCTTGACCTGCCCTCAGTCCTGGCCTACACGTATGTTGACAGGTGTTGTTTCTCTAGGTAGCCCCTAGTCCTGGCTCTCACACTCACCAGTGGCAGTTGCTGACTAGCAGGGGAGTGCCTATAGTTTCCCCACTAGGCATGCTCCTGGCCCCAGATTTCGTGCCTGCCAAGCAGTACTACAGTCCAGTCTGACATGACTTGCATCCAGTTCTGACACATGCCAACTGGTACAGCAGCCTAGCCGAGCCTGAACTGCTCCCAGGCCCAGCCCAAATGCCAGCTGATGGGTGTTACGGTCCTGCTCAGACTGGCTCATCCCTAGTCTCAACTCTTACGCTCACCAGAAGAAGCAGTGGCCCAGCAAGGGAACTCCCAAGGCTCCAAGCCCTGGGTCTTGCACATGTCAGAGGTGCTATGAGCAAGTCTGAAACGGCTTTTTCCCAGTCTCAGCATTCACCAGTGGGTACATCAGCCTAACGCAGCTTTGCTCACTCCCATCCCTCAGGTGAACAGCTGGGTGCTGTGGTCCAGCCTGGTCTGGCCTGCACCAAATCCTGTCTCTCACTCTTGCAGTGGGTGCTGTGGACTGGCCCAATCTGATTTAGCCCTAGATCTAGCTCACACATATGTCCATGGGTGTTGACAGCCCAGCCGGGCCTGGCCTGTTTTTAACTCACCAGTGAGAGTTGTGGTCAAGCAGGGGAGTTCCCCAAGTTCCCCTATCAGGCCCACTATCAGGCCTGGGTCTCGCAAATGCCAGCAGGTACAGCAGCCCAGCCTAACATGGCCAGCCTCTAGTCCTGATACTCACCAATGGCTACTGCAGCTTAGACTGAATGGCCTGTACCCATTCTGGCTCTCACTGCTGGGTGCCCACAGCTTAGTCCAGCCTGACCCACTCTAGATTTGGCTTTCATGTGACCTGGTGGGTGCTACAGCCTAGCCCAGCTTGTCCCACACCCAGTATGGTTCTTGAAGGTGCTGGCAGGTGCTGAAGCATAGCCCAGTCTGGCCTGCACCCAGACCCATTCCACACAAATGCACATGGGTGCTGCAGCTTTGCCCAGCCTGGTCTGCCCACAGCCCTGGCTCTCACAATCACCAATGGGAGCTGTAGCCTAGCTTGGAAGTTTCCAAACTTCCCCTAGCAGGCTTGTTCCCAGCCCTGGATCTTGTGTGTGCTGGAGGTAGCTTCAACTCAGCCTGGGATGGCCTGTCTGCAGACTCAGCTCTTGCTGGTGGGTGTTGTATATTAGCCCTGGCTCTTGTGTGTGCCAGGGGATGCTGCAAGCTTTGCCTGCCCTTGCTGGAACCCAGCCAAGGCTCTTGTTTTCCCCCATAAGAGCTGCAGCCTAGTTGGGGAATTCCCCCAGTTCTCATGCCAGACCCACTCCTAGCTCCAGATCTCATATGCGCCTGTTTGGCATGATCTGCCCTCAGTCCCAATCCCATGTGCTGGTGGGTGTTGCAGCCTGGCCCACCCCTGGTTCCCTTGAGTGTTAGGTGAGTTCAGCAGTCCAGCCTGGCTCAGTTGTTCACCATCCCCACCTTTCCTCAAACCAGCAGGTGCTACGGTCCCAGAGGTGAGCCCACAAGTCCCCTACAAAATCTGCCCCCAGATTTGGTTCTTTGTGTTCTGGTGGGTGCTGCATCCCAGCCTGACATGTCCCATAGCCTGCTTCAACATGGGCAGGTATTGTGGCCTGTGTCCAACAGCCCCAGCTTTTGCACATCCCAGTGGATGGTGGGTGATGCTCTTTTGCCCAGCCCAGGTCTCCCACATGGGCAGGGAGACCTGTCCAATTACTCCATCTCCCTTCCCTACCTGGGATTACAGTGATCCCGTCCATAGAAGTTCCTGAAGCCATTCCTTCCCTGTCAAACATGCCCTCAGTTGCCCCTACTCCAATACGTCCCCAGACCCTCCTCTGATTGGGGGCCAAGGTGGCATGTCCTAGCCTGGCATTCCCTGCCTTCCCCACATATCTTTAAACACAAAAAAAGAACAAGCTATTAAGCTGGTACTGGTATAGTGAACACAAATTTGGCACTAATCAGGCCCAGAATGCCCGCCAGTTACTGGCTGCTTTTCTCCCAGCTGTGTAACACTCGCCTAAGAACAAGGCACCTTAGGCAGCTGCCTACAGCTGGGACGTGCAAAGATTTTCATAATATGCATTTTCCATGATCCTGTTGAAGATATCTTCACTTGCATAGATTTCAAAATTTTTCTTCCCCCCAAATAAACCTGCCTTTTAATTCCATTTATCCATTAACTTTTGGGAAAAATCTTCATATGAGCAGAAGCAAAAGCTTGATCTTTCAACACTGTGAATCTGATGGAAGCAGACATTTAAATTCTAACTTTAAACTGATTTTGCATTTAAGCCTTTTGATTTTAAGCATAGCAAAGATTCAATATGTGATTATACAGCTGTGGATATACTCACAAAACATGATAATTGAAAACATTAATGTAGCTATGTTGGTATATTCAGTATGAATATACTTTTCTTTCTGTATATTTCTTCAATTCTCTCCTTTTTAGACATGGATTATGTGATTCTTTTTATAGTATAAAAACATGACTAAACTTTTTGAAAAAAATTTAAACAACTTTAGTTTTCCAGAATTTGAAGAAAATCACAGGAAAAAATATGATGCAACTACTTGTAATAAATCAAAATACAAAATATTATCATGGACAGTTTAAAATATATTTCTTAACTGTATGTATTTTGTGTATACTGATATTTTGCGTGTGTCAGTATTTTCTACCTTTTGGGTAGAAATCTAGTGAGGACTATGTATAGTTACAAACTAGAGCATTTAGATACTGTTTGAGAAACATACAGAAAGAGATAGAAGTTTGTGAAACAATGGAATTTCAAGGTAACCTTTTTTTTTTTCTGCTATAAAAACTCCTTAAGTCCATAAATCGTTTTTTCATAATAGGTATTTTTCCTCATGCTCTTGTAGATCCCTCGAGTGTTTACAGTCAACTGATACCTTTCTTTTACTGATGTGACTTCAAACATTTTTCTTGAAAGATTGCACTTTTATTAGAAAGGCAGAATTAGCAGGAGAAACAGAGAGACCTTGCAGCCACTGTTCATCCCCCCAAATGACCACAGTGGCCAGAGCTGAGCTGATCTGAAGGCAGGAGCCAGGGGAGATTCCTCAGGGTCTCCCACGTGGGTGTAGGGGCCTAAATATTTAAGCCATTCTCTATTTTAACAGGCTATTAGCATGGAGCTGGATCAGAAGCAGCGTAGCTGGGATATGAACTGGCACCGGGGCTGCAGGCAGAGGACTAGCCTGACACACCACAGTGCCAGCCCTTCATCTAGCTTCTTACATCAAAATGCATTTAACCCTTGTATTTCCTCAAACAAATCCTTCCTCCCTCCCTCCCCATCCCATCAACATTCTTACAAGCGAGGGAAGAATCTGAGAATCTACAAGGATGGGTCCCAGTGTGGCCTCTGATCTGAAGGAAGTTTCCTTAAACCTCAAATCTATGCAGCAAGTTTCTGGATCTTTTGAATATCCTTGCAATGCAAAAAGAAAAAAAAAAGTGGGGTGGGGGGAGCAGTGGTGCTGGGTAGTTTGAGACCTGGGCTTTACCACAGTCTGAATATTCATTATTACTTAATTCTGTGCTGTCAACACACCTTTAGTGATGAACAGCCTGCTCTAATTCCTGATGCTCAAGTCTACTGGGGCTTGCTTGGTTGTGCCCTCTTCACCTCTGGGCTGCATCCTTATCACCACAGAAGGTGCCCGTCTCACCCCACACCCTGGCATGCTGCAGAGCCTGTAGGTCTCCTCAGGGTGCCTTTCCAATCGTGTGTTTTCCTGCTCCTCCTCAAAACGATGTTTTTCTCTAGTTAATAACTATCCTTGCCCACCTCACCGGGATGCCAGGAGGACACATTTTATGTGGTTAATTAAACACTTTGAATTCCTTAACTAAAAACTAAAAACACAATTCACTAGAGAGACAAGAGTTATTTTTAATATTAACTATTTTTCCACGATTATATAGGCCTTGAAAAAGAGTTTTAAAAAAGACCAGCCAGGTCACAGCCACGGTCAGCACAACCCTTCTGTACCTTGCTTTCCTTCTTGTTCAAGTGGACACCACTATCTGTGAAGTCTGGCTTCCTAGACAGAGCACAGAGATCAAGTGCGAGATGAAGGTAAAGCCGGAGCACCCACAGCCAGTCCGGGAGGTTCACAGGGATGCGGCTGTTCTCCACAGTGAACCTGTAATGTGGGTTCTGAAGAATCTAGGTAGTCAGGCCTGACTTTCTAATGAAATACTGTGTGCCTCCTGAGTTCCGACGGCATTTGACAATGAAAACACAAATACTGCTCCTGTGGCCATTCAAGGTTAAACAGCTGGACTCTACCTGAATAATCTGGGCAGCGAGCTCCGGGGTGCCATGCTTCAGGTCATGCCCGTTGATGGCCAACACTCGGTCATTGCTGCTGAGCCTGCCGTCCTGGGCGGCCAGGCCCCCTTCCAACAGGTCAAGGATAAAAACGCCGGGCTCATCTGTCCTTCGGACCAGTTTAATGCCGAGCTGTTCCCCGGAGTCCCGTTTGTGAAGAACCACCTGGAAGATCTCCTCCCGGGGAGAAGTGCCATCGGAATGGCTGTGTGCCCGGCTGCCGAAGCGCCTCTCCCGCAGCACGGTGAGCTGCAGCGTGCTGCAGGGCTGCGAGAGGACGGCTCTGGCGTAGTTATGGGACACGTTGCTGATGTTATAGTTGTTGACCTAAAAAAAGAAGGACGACCAGAGCGTGACAATCTTTCATTTTCCTCATTTGTAGAAATGCTTACGTTTCGTTGCCAAAGGAAGCAACATTGTGGAAATGCTGGAGCAGCGCTCTGACAAAGAAACCCATTCTAAAGACACTTTAAATACATTTAACCACGATGACTAGTCTCAACTAAGAGGTAGTCAGGATCACACCTCTAATGGTAGTCTTGAATCAGAGTCCTTGATTCTGTTTACCAACTGATAACCTTAGGCAAATTCCAGAACTTAACTGTTTCTTCGTCTGTGAAACTGTACCCCGATCTGCTGCCTAGGAGTTAGATGACAATGAAGGTCACCACACGGCCCAGGGTTAATGAAATACCAGGTCCAGTGTCACAGAAATTCAAGTTCCATTGGATTACAAATCTGGCTTTCCAAGTGGAACACACTTAGGCAACAGAAAGTAAACTGAATTTTAAACAAAGCGGCATGATTTTGGTACACAACCTTAGCTCAACTTAGCCATTTAAAAAAAATGATTAAAATTTCATCACAATTCTTGAACGTACACATGTAATACACATTTATACATTAAGCATAATCCAGCACTTTTTGTTACATTTTGTAACCTGGAAATAGGACCGACCATTGATATGTAATTTCACTGAGAAATAATATACTCAGCTTCAATTACTCATCTAGTTCCTCGAGGCATGGTGATTCTCTGCCTTTGTCCCAGTTCCTTACTGCGATCGGTCTAGGAGGAAATGGGGATTCTCCAAACATCCATTATGGGAAGAAACTAGCTTAGACATTTGTGATCACCTAAAATCCTGAAGTATTTTTCATTAAAATGCATGTTCAGCAAGTATTCTCTTTCCTGAGAGTTCAGCCTCCTGACCTTTCAAAATTGTCATCAAATTCATAGCTCTCTCACTTCCTGTCTCTCTCTCTCTCACACACACGCTCCCAGGTCCGTAGCCTCCATACATTTGGCAGTCACCCACTACATCATGGCGGTGATACGGATTCATTAGTCAAAATCATCATCTCTGGCTATCTGGCTAAGCACTACCTATCTCTAGCCTTGTATCTTCCCATCTTAGGGTCAGACACATTTACAACATGTCTGGCTAGACAGCAACAGGTTACATTTTCCATCTGTAACAAGCATGCAGCCCCGTAATATCTTTGTGAAGTATTCTAGAAAATAACCTACAAATGGGAAGGGATGATCGGGTGACTGCTAGGAAAATTCAGAAAGGTTAGTGGTCAAAAAGAACATGATTTAGGCCTTGCAAGCATAACACCAATAAACTCCATCACAATTCTGGGTTAAGTATGTGTTTGATTTAGCCTACATAATCAATACATGACTATTTTTTCTCCTAAATTAAAAATGCCTCAATTACTGATGATCCTGATCAAATTGAAAAGACCTATTCTTAATAATATTCTAAGAGATGTATTACTTTTAGAAAGATGATAATTTATTTGAAAGGCACAGTTACAGAGAAGAAAGGAAAAAGGGAGGAAGGGAAGGAAGGAGAGAAGCGGGGGAAGGGAAGAAGAAGGTGGGAGGGGGACGAACACATAGAATTTTCTACCCATTATTTCACTCCCCAGATGGCTGGTGCTAGGCCATGATAAAGCAAGGAACCTGGAGCCTGGAACTCCATCTGGGTCTCCTACTTGGGTGGCAGGGATGGCATATTTACCACTGCTTTCCCAAGATCATGAGCAGCAAGCTGGGTAAACAGTAGAGCAGTCAGGACTTGAACGGACACCCTAGAGAATGCTAGCATTCCAGGCAGAAGCTTAACTCACTGCATCACGACAGCCCCAGTTACGTCACTTTTAATAAGTGATACTGATGTGATTTCTAACAGCAGTTATTATTTTTTTTCTTCAGAACTGTTCCAAAGGCTGACTACGAATCTCTCTGAAGAGTGGCAGAGCCAGGCCCTGAGGGCCTAGGATTCTCCTTTCCAAACAGGCTATGGAACAGAGCGTGTGTGCACAGGCACGCCTGTATACACAAACATACACACATATATCAGGGAACATTCCTCATCTTAAAATATGAAATTTCTTAAAATCCAAAACTGAGCACAGACATTATGCTCAAAAATGTCCTGGCTTTTGGCAGGTTATGGATGCCAATAAAGTCTATTGCAAAATCTGAAAACAAACAAACAACCCAACTTCAAAGTCTGAAAAAGCACTTTTGGAAGGTTCGAGGCATTCTAGATAAAGGCACTCAATTATGTACCTTTTTTTATTCTTGTTGTTTTGTTTTTACTGTGAGAAAATCAGTGCCACATACTGCTACTATACATGGTTTGCTTAAATAAAAGCGTAAGCCAGCCAGCTCTCTGGTCTGCAAATTAATCAGCTTAGTGTGTCTTGGGAGTTTTTTAATTGGCTCACTGTATTATCCAGTTTATTCAAGGTACTGAAGGACTAAGATAGAAAAAAAAAAAAACCCAGACAGGACTCTTTATAAGAATTTACATTTAAATGCAAATAAGTCCATTTCCATATTTGGACAAAGGAAGTGGTTTTATTTAGAGACTCCAACATACAAGTTAAAGACCAACTAGAAGGCCATCAAAAAGAAAAACCTAGGTCAGTGTGGTGTTGTGGCATATCAGGTTAAGTCGTTACTTGCAAGCCAGTATCCCATGTAGGTGCCAGTTCAAACTCTGGCTGCTCCATTTCCAATCTAGCTCCTTGCAATGTTCCTGGGAAGGCAGAAGACAGTCCTAACGCTTTGGTCCCTGTCACCCATGTGAGAGAACAGGATGAAGCTTTGGGCTCCTTGCTTTGGCCTGCACTAGCTCTGGACATTGTGGCCATTTTGGGGAGTGAACCAGCAGATGGAAGAGCTCTGCCTCTTCACTTTTCTTTGCAGCTCTGCCTTTCAAATAAATAAATAAAAATTTTTAAAAGATTTATTTATTTTTAAATAAAGATATGTTCCATCAGTTGGTTCACAATCAGAGCTCAGCTGACCTGAAGCCAGGAACCAGAAGCTTCTTAATTCTGAATAATCAAAATTTTATTTGAGGCATAAAAAATCCAATTATGTTACCAAAGAATGCTTCAAAATAGTAGTTAAAACAAACAAACCAACCAGGATTTTTTTTTTTATCTCAGTTATGCTTAAAGACATTTAGGGGAAACAAAAACCCACCAGATAGAGATATATAAAAATGGCAATATACAGTGTCAAAGCACATTCCTGGCAGAAAAGACAACTCACAAAACAAACAAACAAACAAACAAACACATTACAGTTAACAAAGGCCAGACATAGGAAAGAAAAGACACTAGACAGGCTGTAAAAAGACTGTGTTTAGTCCTTTGGGTTTTGAGCACCACAAAGTGTCAAGATGTCTGGGAAACCAACTGTAAGACGTACTCGGCCCAGAACAGGCCAGGAGCTGTGAAGTAATGACCCAAAGTAAGGCAGCTTTGATGGGATCAGAGAGCTCATGTCATATAACCTGAATTAGCGATGCTCCCTGTATTCCCATTACTCCTGGTATTCAGCAAAAATCAAAACACTGTCTAACGTTTGGTTGGTTTCAGCCACATTTCAGAAGGAAGAGTTTTGGACAAGAGTGTTACGGTAAGGAATTCTACACGGTGAGAAGCTATATGTAAGTGCGAATGGAAACCACAGCCAAGAATCAGTTATTAGGAAGGTCAATCCCAGCTGCTCTGGAGATTTCCTTTCAAGACCTAAAACATCCCAAAGGCTCCAAGCTTTGTTTTAATAAAGGAGATGACTATTCCAAACAGGGCAGTACATCTAAATCCACTGTTCCATCGATTCAGCTAATTCCTGGGCACTTACTCAGCATACTGTGAGAGAAATCTGTATCAAAACCCCCAGTACTGGGGGCTGCAACCACCACAGAAGCACAGGCCTACACAGGTAGAGCATTTAAACAAATGGCCAACATTGACAGCATGTCAAGTGATGACAACAAAGGCACAATTGCTGTCATTAGCTCAAGTACGGAAGAAGTGGTATGGCCAAGACTGGCTGGAGGTGCAAAGATTGAGCTCAAGCTGGAACGTGGAAATAAGTTAAAAATCACTACATCTGGTACCCTGGTAGACTGCTCTGTGAGGACAGATGGCATTTGGCTCTTGAATGTATCTCCAGCAACAAATTCAGCACCTACAATACTCAAGAAATGAACAACCTGGAGTAGCACAAATAAAAGCTAGATCTAAGATTAGAAGTCAGCTTGTGTAAAAAAAAAAAAAAAAACAAAAACCACAGGGGATCTCAACTCTTAGATCAGTCTGGGCTTGACACTTGCGATGAATCATTGCAAGAAAAGCATGGCTACAGACAGACCGACCTGGCAGGGATATGGCTGGAACATTCTGCTGAATTACAGAGCAGTGAAGGCTCCTCCTAGAAAGGTGGCAGGCAATGTGGAAATAAGGTGTTAATGTTAGCAGATCCTGGGGGAAATACCGAACAAGCAATTCAAGTAGGGAAAAAAAACCTCGTGCTTGGGTTCCTAAAGGACATTCTATCTTGTCTGTATCTTCTACCTCTTCTCTCTCCTTGTAGAAATTACCCACTTTTCAACTTCAACTACCATCATACTTGTATCAGTGAAATTTCAGGCCAGTATTCTATAAACGCTAGTCCCACACAACATTCTGTCATCCCTAGCCCCTCGGTCTCAAGACATCCTCCAGTAAAGCAGCTTGTCCCACCCTAATTCTTTTACTTCTTTTTCAAATATTTATTTTATTCTTAAAAGATCATCTTCTGAAAGGGCAAACAGTAAGAGTGGTATCAGGGATCACAGAACACAGAATGAGGATATATGACGGAGTCCGTGAAAGACTCAAATTTTATGGTATAAATTCAATCAGTACAGCACAGTTTTACTTCTTCAGATCCCAGCAATCTGAATGGAGAAGGATAAATCAGCCATGAAGGGAGGAGATGGACAGGCAAACGGGGCTTGGAATCAAAGCAGAGAGTCAAAGAGTCTCCTGTGGGTGAAGGTGGTCCTAGAACAAACATCCTTCCAGCAGCTCAGGCCAGGCAAGGGAGTGAGCCGTGGTCCAAGTCACAGGTGGGGTTGATGAGAATATAGAGGAAAAAAAAACCACATAGATTGGTAAACAGGAGATAGATTCAAATCTGTTTACACATAGAAACATCAAAACCAACCTTTATATAATTCAGGTTCCACAACACCAGAATTTTCTGACTTTTAAGCTAAGAACAAGAATGAAAAAGCACAAGTTTACAGAATCACTCAAACGGATACCTGAAGAATCTGGTCTCCAGCCAGGAGTCTCCCATCTCTGGCGATGATCCCGTCCCGATAGACTTCCTGGATGACAATGTTAATCAGCGGCGTCTCATTGCCACCCACAATGCTAATTCCTAATTGAATGTATGGATTGGATCGGTGAATTTCAATAGTGGTAATTTCTCCCTCTGGTAAACTAAGTGGCTGTTGTATGGCTGCCAAGTTAAAACAAAGAGGAAAACAACGTTTCATATTCTGAAAATCTTCAGGTAAACTAACATGCAGATGCTTAATGACCATATAACATCACCGATAAGAAATGGAATGACAAACTACATGTTTAAGAATATCCAAAAATTTCTTTTGCTAGGTTGGTCATTAAATAAACGACCAATAGCCAGTACGTGTGAGATCACTGGGGCAGACACACGGGCTGATGAACGTACATTAACAATCAGTCATCTTGTCCTAGCTGAGGAGGGAAGCTGGGGCTGTGAAACAGCTGTCAGCAGTGCAGGCAGTGGGAAGTAAATAGTAAGGCTTGAGACCCTGGCCAGGGAAAGAAGAGGCACATGGAACTCCTCAAAAGAGGTGGTCTTGAACTTGAGTGACAGGAGATGAAAAAGATGCACAGTCACGATAAGAAAAAAATGAGTTTGAAGCAGAATTTGGAGTTTGTAAGAGAAAACAAAACTTACTTTCGAAAGTACCGCAGGGTCAACTACAAGGCATGCCCAAGAGTTATGGCTGCAGGTTTCTACTTCCTCATGGCTGACACCATGGGTGTGTAAGGTCTGAAGCACTGTTATGTGCTCAGCCACCGAGCCGCTCTATGAGTTTGACCACACTCTTACCACTTAACTACAAGCATTTAGGTAGTTAATAGTAAAGTGCTTACTACTGTGCTGACAGGGTGAGCGCTTGATTTTAACAACTGCTTCTGTTACTGCTGAATTCTTATGTCAAGCAAATACATTTCTGAGCAAACATGTGAATGAATAGAGTTCATGGACTGTAGCAGAAAAGGGGTGGGGAAGGCTCCCCTTCCTCTGAGAGTAAGGTCCATGTTTTATTTCTAAAATACACTCAGGTAGGCACAACTGTACAGTGAAAGGCAGTGAATGATGTAGAACAGAAACTGTATCTTAATGAAGTCATTTTTTAAAGAGGAAAATTATGCAGGTTGGGAGAACAGCAAGATGGCAGGCAATGCACAGATGAGACACACAGGATGGTGGTGACACACGTACTGTCGGGCCCTGCGCTCTCCTCAAAGGCAGGGTTGTCCAGGCCAGGCTCCTCCGTCCACACGGGAAGGGCCGCCGATGTTGAGTTTCGTTCGGGGGCCAAGGGGCCCGGTCCGGGACAGTCCATTTCTGGCAATAAAGTTCCTGGAGCATCGATGATTGTGGGTCCATTTTCATTCTCGTTCTCGGCCTGAGTTTTATTAGTTTTCCTTCTTTCTAGGGAAACTCTCCGATGAGAAGCTCCTGGACACCTAGAGAAGAGAAGATCAGGTGGTTGCTGGGTGATTTCAAAAGAAACGGTGGAGAGGAACATTTCTAGCGCTTAAGGCACAAGAGAATGGTAACGGTTTGTATGCTAAAAGAAGAACCCATGAGCTGTGAAAAATCTGGATCTTAAATCTCCTCTCAAAATCAATCTTACCAGTCCACACAGCTGACAAAATTGTACTTTGGTATACACAGTTCTCAGACAGTGCCCCAATAATCGTCTCTGTACCGCAAGAATGATTCTGAAATTCTGGTCGCAGGACTCCTCACAGATGAAGTAGCTCAACTAGAAGCATGCCAATCAGCAAACAGTCTTGTTTCATCACCAGGGTTGTGTTTTGACTTAAGACCTGGAGTGCCTTGGCCATCTCGCCCAATCCCTTTAGAAGCTTGAGGAAAACTTGTAGGAGGGGGCACAGCAAATGCCCAAGATAATTTATGACAGATGTAGAAGGAAACACAAATATAGCTCTTCCTAACCTTTACACAGACACACTGTGCAACCTAAAAAATATATTCCCAAGTACTTGGGAAACTTACATAAGAGCCAAGAAATAACAATGGGTAACTCACCTATTCTTATTTATATAAGCAAACAGAGACAGCAGACAGATGATTGTTTAAACCTATAACCAATGAAAACATCCAAAGGCTTAAAACAACAAATTAATTAGAAATGAGGACAGGTGCCAATTCCTTTCCATCTGATACCCTGACTGGACAAGGTGACTAATGGAGGCATTAGTGAGAGAGCCTTAGCACCTGCCACACCTTTACAGATAGCACGGTCTCCTAGGTAAGGTAGGGCAGTACAGTGACCACACGTGGAGCCTTATGCCTAGAGTCACAGACCTTCATTCAGTGTCAATGCATGCATTTGGAAATATTTATTTTTTCAACTACTTGAACGGTAGAAAGCGAGAGAACCTTCTATGTGCTCATGTATTGCCCAAACACCTGCAACAATTACAATGGGGCCAGCCTGAAGCCAGGAGCTCCACCTGGGTCTCTCGTGTGGGTGGCAGGGGTTCAAACACCAGGATCACCAGTTTTTGTCTCCAAGGGAATGTAGCAGCTGGGACTTACACTGGCACTCAGGTAGGCGTGGGTGCTCAAAGCAGCAGCTTAACATGCCAACAGCAAGATCCTGAATTTCTAACAAAATAGAATTCAGTCAATTTACATTGAATGCTCTGCTTTAGCTGCTGAAGTAGTATATTTTCCCTTGCACAGTGCAGAAACCACTTAAATTGTGGATTTCAGGTTCTTAAAAAGATCTCTAGGACCCTTCTTCATCCACCTTTCTCTGGCATCTCCTCTGCTGCCTGCTAGGATAGGACTGACTCTTTCCTGAGTTGTTGTGTAGTCCCCATGGAATATTCTTTAAAAATTTAATTAAAAAATCACTTTTGTCAAGTAGACTAAATCATAATTTAAAGGTCAATTTATAGAAACACAAAGCTGAGTCAGGAACTAGACCATAAAAACATAGTGACAGAAAAGATAATGGTTTAATTTCCAAAACATGTATCCTCTAGCTAGTCTTTAATGGAAATAATGGACCAGGCACAGAAATGCAGGAACATGGACACCGAGGAATCCACCTAGCTAACAACTCCAACTTCCCATCAGCTATCATAAAACTTATGTTAGAGTTATCAAACATGCAAACATAAACTTAAAAACCCAAAAAGTGGTTAGAGAGGCATTTAAGAAACAGGTATACTTAAATTTCCAATGGGATAGTAGACTACTAAGGGAAATAGGAAATGGCTTACAGAAACAGGGAAAATATTAAAACACCATCAATTAAAACCATGGGAGAAATGACCTCATCCAGCATCAGAGCAAAGTTATAGATAGATCCTTTGGAACACCCATATTTAAACAAGATAGACCGGTGGAACAACCACACTGAGCAGGCTCTGAAAGACGCAAACCTGGCCAAAGCAGGTAGGACTGTCAATCAAGAACTCATGGCCAACAATACGACTGTCACAAAAGGGTCAAATCAGACAAGGACTCATGTGTTGGGTTTGATATGCCAGCTCAAATGCCACAATGCACTCAGAAAGATCATGTTGGGGGAAGCCCAGATTCCAACGCAAGCTTTTCTGTTAACATTTGCATTCCACAAAACCTACATGCTAAAAATTGTAGGGAAAAAGAGCGTTAGGATAAGCCATTTAAGACCTACTCGTTCAGGAATGGGACCCAGTTGCTAACAGGTATGGGATTTCTTTTTGCCAAGTTGAAAAAATTTTAAAAAGCAGATGAGGATGGTTGTAAAGTCTGTGAATACACTAAAGGACAGAGTTGTAGACTATAAAGAGGTGAATTTTATGCTACGTAAAATACATCTCTATGAAGCTATTTTTTTTTTTTTTTTAATCGCGGCTGACAGCACTGCCTCTGAGATGCTGGCATCCCATGTGGGATGAACCAGGGCCCACATGGGATGCCAGGTTCGTGCCTGGCTGCTCAGCCGCTGGTGGCGCTTCCTGTCAATGCACCTGGGAAAGCAGCAGGAGACAGCTCAAGTGTTCCAGTCCCTCCTCCCATGTGGAAGACCCAGATGCGGTTCTAAGCTCTCGGTTTCAGTCTGGCCCAACCTTGGCCAGTGCGGCCATTTAGGGAGTAGGTCACTAGATGGAATATCATTCTCTGTGCCTCTCCCCATTCTCTAACTCTACCTTTTAAATAGATAAATAAATCTTAAAACCAAGCCAAACCCTGTTAGGCAACCAGCAGTGCAGAGCACAGCTGCCTTGCACAGAGAACAGTTCATGATCACAGGCAGCCGGAGCCATCATTTCTCAACTTGTCAACCCTTGACGCTGAAAATGAAAGGAAATGGCCCAATATCTGGAGCGTGTCTACCGTGTGCCAGACACCATGTAATACAGCCTTTCTACACATCATTTCATACTACTTTATTTATTTGTACTACTCTATTTATTCCTTCTAAAAGCAAGAAACTTGGGACTCAACTAACCAACCAACACCACAAAGCTGTTTAGTTTTACAGTCAAAATTCAAACAAACTCAGACCACACTTCAAAAGCTCTTTCCACTATTTCATACTAAATTTACTCACACAGAACTGCTTTTCTCGTCCCAGCCCTAAAAAACAACTGATTTTTTTTCCTACAAACTTACACCTAGGAACAAGAGCCTTGTTGATTATTAAAAAACCAAAAGTGAAAGACAAAAACAAACAAAAACTGATATCATCATTGGAAACTGAGTAGTTAACAATGTCACAAACTACAGCTAGCACTGGGGGACATTCACTTGGCTTATTTAAGCAAATAATTCATTGCAGCATAGAGGATATTAAGAATGAATGAAAGCAGTAGAATAGAAATGGACACATAAAACTACGGCCCCCACTGGACTGTCTGGGTTTGATTTGTGGCTCTAGTTTCCCGCTCCAGCTGTTAGTACAGGTTCTAGAAGGCAGTAGAAATGGCTCAAGTGGGTTTTCTGCCACCCTCGGAGAAGATTGTGATGGTGTTGCCCCTTGCTGGCTCTGGCCTCTCCCTAGCTGTTATGAGCATCTGGAGAGTGAACCAGAACCTCACTGTCTTTCTCTTCCAAGAAGGAGAACAAATCCATGAAATATTTAATTAGACCAGGGCATACACATGCTGTGGTCTCGGTATGAAACGTGCAACCTGCCACAGGTTGGCAGCTGCCTCTCCCTAGGGAGAGGTCTCTAGATACAGATGTGTCTTGGAAGTTTCTTAAAACTAAAGGGCTTCAGGCCTGGCGCCATGGCCTAGCAGCTAAAGCCCTTGCCTTGAATGTGCAGGGATCCCTTATGGTCGCCAGTTCTAATCCTGGCGGCCCCGCTTCCCATCTAGCTCCCTGCTTGTGGTCTGGGAAAGCAGTCGAGGACGGCCTAAAGCCTTGGGACCCTGCACCCGTGTGGGAGACCTGGAGACCTGGAGACCTGGAAAAGCTCCTGGCTCCAGGCTTTGGATCGGCGCAGTACTGGCCGTTGAGGCTACTTGGGGAGTGAACCATCTGATGGAAGATCTTCCTCTCTGTCTCTCCTCCTCTCTGTATATCTGACTTTGCAATAAAACATAAATAAATCTTTTTAAAAAAAAAAAACTAAAGGGCTTCAAGACCCAAATGGAGAGATTTTTGCCCCCTTTCCTGCTAAATATAACTTCTTTTGCTGCCATTATTCTGGCTCTGCTTATGGCAAAAAATTACACAAACCTGACTTTTGCTATAGTAAGCAACATCATTTTAACAACTGCATATAACCTAATTCACATTAGGAACCATACAGTATAGCAAAGCACATTTACATTATCATCAACAGTGTTCATACTAGTAGTTGTGGTAATAACACTCAAACAGAATAAAACAAGGCATGCCAAGTGCCACACAATGCCAGGCACTACATGCATCAGAAAGAATCTGAACATGTTAAAATAAAAATAATTTAAAAAAATCATGTATGGAATAAAATATACAAAAATCAATTGAAGCAACAAGAAAATGGTGAAGCAAAGGTCTCTTCAACATGAGGAATGCAAATCCTGGAAGAAACGAACTCTGGACATGAGCTAAACAGTGCGGTGGTCTGGTGAACGTTACCTCACAGAGAACGGAGGGCGCTGTGGCACCTCAGCTTGCTCTGGTGCTATTCCCTGGATCTCGGCTCCCTGACAAACTGGGAAAGCAACAGCCCAAACAAATCACAATGGGCACAGCATACTGGAGCCCTTCCAGAGCCCATTCCCAGAGAACTGCCATTACTGACCTGTCCCCTGGTTCCCTGGAAGATTACACTTGCAAGGCTCCCCTTCCCTGACCCGATACAGAGCTCACACAGTACAAACACCTTTCTCACAGAGGACATGTGCTGAAGAAACCAACCAACCAAACAACAAAGAACCCAGGGGCCAATTATTTAGCATTAGGACTGCCTGAGGAATACAAAAGGCTAACCAAAGAGTTTAGAAAG